CTTTGGTTGGCGATCATTTGCTTTATTCTTATGATCTTAATGAATGATTCAGCAGTATGACTGTAAGGAGAAATTAGATGCTGGTCAATCTCAGGGTTTAAAGAGTTAAACCCATTCTATATATAAAACTTTTCGCTAGCTACAGTTGTTTTCGACAGCCTACGTTATCGATATGTTTGGACGCAAGCCAAAGACTGGGTCCGGTGAATAAAGTCAACGGTGAATGGTAAACTTTCCTCGTACATTATATTAAAACGGCTGGGAAAAATATCTCTCTTTTTGTTTTCTTTCGTTTCGGTTTTGCTTTGTTTATTTGCGTTTTTTCACTTACAAACACACATGGCATAAGAAAAGCTGGACAAAGCTTTCGCGAGCATCATGCATTCTGATTTGCGAGACTCGGATGATAGGTGCTTAATCGCAGTGTTCTCGAGGTGTTCATATACACAACAAATTTTATAATCCTGCGTTTTTACACACTGTTCTTAGATGACTTCATCTTATCTATTTTGGTGCTGTTTTAAAATTTATTTAAACGCAGATCATCACTGAACCAAGATGTAGCACATGGCTCTAATGGAAGAACGATCACCGCACGCTCTGTTGTCAACACCAAACCCTATTACAGAATCACATGTACGGCAGTCGTTTTCGTTGTTCCCAAGGATTCCGACTCTTGCTTTGCGATTGGCCTTGGTATTGAATCCTTCCTTGTTGCAGTTGGGCTGAAGACTAGCCCTTGAATCAATCAGCGCTATCCACTTGTTCCGACCCAGTGAAGTAGGCCGATACTGACCAGCAGCAATCAGAGAGTGAAGAGAGGAAGCCTGGCTGTTGATAACGGTGAACCTCAATTGTCCGTTAACCTTCATACCGAGGCAGACCTTGGAAAAGGATGTGTTCCAGTACGTCTGTAATTTGGTCTCTTGTGAATCGAAGCCAGTCGTTGCACCAGACGGGTTGTATTCGCTTTTGTCAGTCCAGTATCCCGAACTGAACAGAAAAGTGTTCTGCGATGTAATTGCATAAGAGTAAATAATCCATCTCATACAAAGATAAGCATCAAAAATAGCAAGCATGAACATTGTGTATTGTGATTCAGAATCGATTGCGCCTGTCAAAATTTCCCGTTTAAACCGCCTCTTTTTTATTTTTAGGGGGAAAAGAAAGAAAAGTAGAAGAATATTTGACCTGACCTGCAACGCATCTGCGCAATATTACATACTCCGCTAAGATTCTTCGTCGCGAAAACCAAAATATTTTGCTGTGGAACGAAGCTCGAGTCAGGCTTTAAAAGTTAGGGGTATGAGAAAAAGTACAAGCGTTTGTTCGAGATAAATAAGTGAGACATTTGTGGTTAGAGATACTTGAATTCTATACTTCATATTATGTATTTTGATGATGTATTTTGGTGATGTATTTATCTGCAGATCCTTTGAAGGAAAATTTTCACAACAAAAGGTAACAACCTACCTTGTTGCCATCAATCTTCATAACTGGTGTCCATCCACCATCTCCACATCCAAAATCTCCCATTTGACAGAGAACGGAAGTTGTATTCGAGCCAAGGT